TTGGTACAAGAAAATATTTTATTGCATACTAAGATTATTAATACTACAAATATGATTTTTGTTAAGTGCAGAAAGGTCACACAATAATTAACGCCCATTAATTTTCAGGTCATTCTCAATAATAAATATTATTCAATTTATTTTGCATAAAATAAGATAATATTTATTACCATGGTTACATTTGGTAAAATTTGATAAAGGTTAAAGTGATTAACCTAAACGTTACAATTTACGAGCATTGATGTGCAGGAATTTCTCAATAATAAATATTATATAATCTATTTTCTATAAAATAAGATAATATTAATTGCCATGATTACATTTGGTAAAATATGATAAGGGTTCAAATGATTAACCTAAACATTACAATTTACGTGCATTAATTTTCAGGACTTTCTCAAAAAAATTATTAAATCTATTTTCTATAAAATAAGATAATTATTGCCATGATTGTATTTGGTAAAATATGATAAAGGTTAAAGTGATTTACCTTAATGTTACAATTCAAGTGCAAAAAGGTCAAATTAATTGTACTGTTGCTCAGTAAGATGCACACTGACCCCCAATTTTCTTAAAGATTTTCAGTCATGAAATATGAGTAGTTATCTAAAATACACTCCTAAAAAAATCCTTTATATAACCTATGTCACGGGTGACATACCTTAAGGGAGTCGACTGGGGTTTTATTGTGTGAAAACTACTATAGAGAAACTCTTTATTTTTATACCACATGTACCTTAGATTGACTTTAGTATACATGCCAAGTTTAGTGAAAATCTACTGTCTGGTTATTGTGTAGGGACCATCTCAAAATACAGGTACATTTACTATAGGATTATATAGGAAAAAAGCAAATTATACAAATACTACCATAGACTTTTTGTTCAAATTATATTATTTGAGGGGTAATACTATATTGTACATTTTTATTGAAGAAACACAAAATTCTACCGTCTGGTTTCCAGAGGGGGCGTCTCAAAATGTCAAATTCATGATATTTTCCTGTTTTTATGGAGTACAACAAAACATGGCAGATACCACAGATTTACATAAAAAATAATTAAGATGATTGTGAGATTCTCAATTTCCTATGCTTAAAATTTCTAGAGCATCTATTTTATACTTTTTATTTTATGACAGAATTAATGACCCCGCTTAAAGAACTTCGGTTATTCATAACGTCAAAAACACACTATTACGACGTCTATCTACCCATCATTTGAAAAATCCTTCAAAAAATCAGTTATTTAAAAACGTAATTAGATTTTTTATCCTGAAATTTCCTAAAATTGTTAATTTTTATAAATTATGTAAAAATAGTTGCTTTAAAAGAGTAAATACGCTTTATTTTACTATGCTGCGCAAAATATTGCGCAATGAAAACCCCAGACGGTCCCCTTAAGTAAAAATCGAATCAATTCAATGAAATCTTCAAAAGAAAAAATGATGCAAATAATATGCATGAATTTGCATTTAAAAATTAGTTATCATTACAAAGTTCATGGTTGAATATCATTAATTTTGCATAATTGTGTTATAAATAAATTCTACGAAACATAACAAGGAATTTTCTTATTAACGTTGCTATTTCCCCCACTTTCTTGTTAGTATGTGAAAGGGAAAATTCAGTCTTTTGTTTTCTTTACATGTTCCTGTCTGTAATTAATGTATAGAACTTCCATATATCATTCAGTCATTATTAGTACTTTTTAAGTCTCTCTCCGAGAATTGATATGTTCAGCCTGAATTTCCTGTTTCTAGCTACATGTATATGTATTGTAAGAGGTTAAGATAACAAGTAATGGAAGTTCATGAATCCAGTAAAGAATCGTGAAAAGGGAAACCCCACAGATTCCTGGGAACGTTAGAAGTGAGATCAGGTGCCTGGGAAGAGTAATACAGTATACAGTAGAGAATACAAATCATGAAAAGGGAAAAGCCCACAGATCCCTGGGAACGTTAGAAGTGAGATCAGGTGCCTGGGAAGAGTAATACAGTATACAGTAGAGAATACAAATCATGAAAAGGGAAAACTCCACAGATCCCTTGGAACGTTAGAAGTGAGATCAGGTGCCTGGGAAGAGTAATACAGTATACAGTAGAGAATACAAATCGTGAAAAGGGAAAACCCCACCCCACAGATTCCTGGGAACGTTAGAAGTGAGATCAGGTGCATGGGAAGAGTAATACAGTATACAGTAGAGAATACGAATCGTGAAAAGGGAAAACTCCACAGATCCCTGGGAACCTTAGAAGTGGGATCAGGTGCCTGGGAAGAGTAATACAGTATACAGTAGAGAATACGAATCGTGAAAAGGGAAAACTCTACAGATCCCTGGGAACGTTAGAAGTGAGATCAGGTGCCTGGGAAGAGTAATTCAGTATACAGTAGAGAATACAAATCGTGAAAAGGGAAACCCCACAGATTCCTGGGAACGTTAGAAGTGAGATCAGGTGCCTGGGAAGAGTAATACAGTATACAGTAGAGAATACAAATCGTGAAAAGGGAAAACCCCACAGATTCCTGGGAACGTTAGAAGTGGGATCAGGTGCCTGGGAAGAGTAGGCATTCTCTGATGACCAGTGACACCTTTCGTGAGTATTCTTTATTGATCTGGTAAACCGAATTCAAACTGGTATAAAACAATGGCCTAACAATTGCTGGGAAAAGTACGACACAATGATAGGTTTTATTTGCAAACATGGTTATTATAATGACATAGAATTTGTGAAATGATGGTTTTAAACGAGATGGCTGAAAACTTTGAAACAAAATTTATTTATGCTTTGGTTTGAAAATTGATACTTTTCAGTACCAAATTAGTTGGAAGACATAAACCCTATATACAGATGATAGCAGAGTATTACTATATAAATAGGGGAATTGATGATGAAAAAGTAAAACGTCATCCCGTTTGCCTTATAGTGCGGTTTTTATTTTTCTACTACAGGTTATGGTCAGTAAAACATCCAAGCATATTTTACTTTTAAAATACGCTTCTCTTTATATCTATCAAAATTACAGCTATGTAGTTTAGTTAGTTAGTAGTTTAGTTATTTCTAAAACATTACAAGTATGAAAGCAAAAAAAAGTAGAATCCCTTTTCATCCTCAAACATTTAGTAAGTTAATTTGATATCTTTTGATTTTTATTCATTTTATATATTACAACTGAAAAAGGGGTTTTAAACTGATTGTAAATCCTTAGCTGGCTGGTATTCTACATACATTAATGTATGTATTTTTGCAATGAAGCAATTCTCTATCCTCTACTGAACTGAATCCATTCTATTTTTTCCCAATTAAATTTCACAAGTCATGATTGTTTATCTTATTTTTCTCAAAAATTGGGAAAAAAGATGTCAGAAGTGGGTTTTCTTTTATAATTTTTACTGGTTTTATTTTTCCTTCTGTCTCAATAAATAATAAAAAATTACAGTGTATAAAATTTCACTTTTCAATAGGTAGGATATTAGATTGGGAAGCGTTATCGATTTGGTCTATTATATTAACTTTAAATGGATTGTATGTCTTTCCATTTAAAAATATAGCCTTTAAATTCGAAAAATAAACAAGTAAGTAAGCGATCGTACAAAAAGATTAAAATTCATCAGAAACGGAATAGACTTTATGAGGGGACCTTTAAAATGTGCTCTTTAACAAAGAAATCATTTATGAAGAATAAAAGTAAACGTTCGTAAAATCAGTTTCCATTTAAAGATATCAAATACATGTGGGAATAAACTTAATGAACATAATAACAACATATTGAAACCTTTTTAAGAGAGCATTATATTTCATATTAAAGAATTCTCAAGAAAAGGTAAATTGCGCATTCAAAAAGTGATCGCTCACGATATTTTCTTCTTCGATCGCTACATATTGTGAACTTTGTATCCCTGCTTCAGGAGAGTTCTATAAAATATTTATGTTCCATTAGATAACCTTTATTGACTGCCTCATACACGCTATCAGCTGTAATTGTCCATAATCAGAAACCCACAGGTAGTGGAATCACACCTGCCTAAGGTGTGAATTGAGGTCCATACCTGTCCGGGAGGACGTTTAATGTCGACCCATCAATTAAAGTAAGACTTCTTTCTGTTATATAAAGGGGGTTTGGCCGTTTGAGCAAACGCGGAAGGGGAATTAGGAATGCTTGTACTTGGACCTGCTATCAAAAGAAAGTGCTCACGCAGAATATTTCTTTTATTGCGGACTGTACTCTATCGCGGTTCAGTGTTTGCATTAGAGATTTGTGTAGATAAAGTGTATATAATCAGTGTGGGTCCTTCAAAGACAGTGTAGTATCTGTCAAAGGACTGCATGATAGCGTCAAATTATATCTTAATATTTCGAGTCTTGAAGAAACACTAGTACCCGTGCTATCAATAAAGAGAGGGCGGGACCTTCTACATTAACAATCCTCCCGCTTTTAGGACGGGACGATTCCAGATTATTTCTGATCTTTGACGGGTTTGTATTAGCCATTCAAACGATCATGATTTTTAATTGAAGTGAATTTAAATTCCAATAACCAACAGCATACAATTATTTGTGGTATATAATTTCCTTTTCATCACATAATACACGGTGTGTTGTACACAGACCAACAGGTAGATCAGGATTAAGCCGTATTTTTCTGTACTGCAATGACTGTGACATCTCAAGGCTGTTTTTTGAATGTTTAAGGCACCTGCTGTACATCTAGCGATCTAACCGTATAAAGAGAAATATTTCTAGTTCGTTTTCATGGCTTTTATGACCCAGTTGAGGAATTTATTCATTGGCTGACACGAGAGATGTATTAACTTTGGAGCACATTAGCCGATTGTGACGTTGATCGTGTACGGAGACTATTAAGTGTTTGTTTTACTACAGCTACTATTTACCTAAGTCGTCAGAAGCCAGTTTATTACAAATGAGGCCACAAATGTTTCAATTTTAAATCGATTCAGCCAATCTCCACAAACCGTTTTGGACAAATTACTGTACCCGTGAGTGCCATAAAGAGGAAAACACGTGTGTACCTAGATAAAATAAATGACCGAATACTTGGAATCCAGTAAATCATAGAAATCTACGAAGTAAGTATTCTTTGTAATGACTATACTTGTTTGAAGTCATTCTCTTTCACTATCATTCTGTCTGGTTTTATTGAGTCGATTGTCTCTGAATCAAATATTCCACTATCACCAATATCTGTATGATCAGATGGAGTATTAAATTTTCCGACATTTCTCCAATTCCATTATCATATGTACATTGCAAACGTCCATGATGCCAATGGCCATTTGTGTCGTCAAAATTCAGAAAATTTCCAATACAATGCTATGTTAAACAGAATGACTTCTGAAGAATATGGTAATGGTATAGGATTTTACCTATATTTTTTATTCTGTCTTTGTGTTTGAGTGGTTGAAAAATCTTTTTTCCGTTTTAGAAAGACATCTATAGATATTGAGCATATTTTCTGTATTACATGATACTTATTTTTGTGCTGATAAAATCACTGCTAAGACTTTGTTGATATATAGTGAGTTACTGATTGTAAATCAGCAAAATATTGTTTCTTCTCATGTATTTTGCTGATCGTTTGTAAAATACGTTTGTCTTTATGAATTGTGTGGACTTTAACCTAAATACATACATGTAATGATGCGCTTCTTACCGTTAAAGGCCATAGTCAGATGACGGTGAACACACAGAGACTCTCAGACGTTCAGGAAAGACTAGAAAAACTTCTCACAGACAAAAAATGTCTAAACTCCAAGGTCACTTCCGACGCCTTTTCAGGATTCAAAGCGGCTGTCAGCAAGGTAGGGTTAAAATTATCCACCCAGGGTGTGGAAGATATGAACAACAAGAAAAGTGTAGCTCATACAAAGTAGTACAGATGGTAATAGTGTCATAAAGAGAGAGTTAGGTTAAGTATCCACCCAGAGTATGGAGGATATGAACTATTAGAATAGTGTAGCTCATGCCCCATGACACAAATAGAAACAAAATCATAAAGAGATACTGGAGAGGATTGTATCAAATGTTTGTTTTGTAGGTAAAAGCTGGACAGACAGCCGATCTAGGTTCCTCTTTAAAGAAACTGGAGATAAGCCTTAAAGGCGAGGGAGCGTATAAGAATGTGAAGGTTGGGTTTGAAGCTGCCAAGGCCGATATTAATGAGGTTTGTAGTTATATTGCTTTTTATATTAATAGTAGTCATTAAAAATCTCGACTGTATGCAATATTTTCCAAAAATCCATATTATTAACATTTTACATGTAAAATGCCAAATGTTCAAAATGAGTCTTTAAACTTTGTTCAGAGTGTACATTTCATTAAATAATCCAATGACCATGTATATTCTGTAAATGGGTTACAATTTCATAAAAGCCATTCACGTATGAAAACTCAAAGAATCTAAATGCAAAAAAAAGTTCAAAGGAAAAAAATTCTTAAAATCAATCGAAGAAACTTATCATTTTAGTTGGTATGTCTTTGCTGGAAACCCTAGTCGTGCTGCGTACTCTTGTGATTTTAAAAGCATTTAAAGTATAACACTTCCATAAAAACCCTGTAATGCTTTTTTAAACAGTTCGATTTAAAAGTAATATAGAAGGAGCTATTTAATTAAAATTCGGTTAGACAAAATTGGTCTTTTTGTGGACCAGTTGTCTAAGAGTGTTTCAAGAAAGATGAACAGCTCTGAAGGCAGAATACATGTACAAGCTTTGATTTATTTCTATTCATCACGTATTCGAGCCATATTTTACGAATAATAAACTCCTGCTGGTCTCAGAAATAGAAATATTAACGCTCGTTTATTTCTGTATTTACAACCTCCTTCGTCCAAAACTTAGACATGTATTTATTTCGTATTCAACACCAAGTTTCTTTTATATAACTTTTTAACACGAACATAGTTCATATGTTAACTATAATATGTATGAAGAGATAAGGGAGTGGGTAGGACGCTCTTTTAAAGGCAAATTTGGGTTTTGGATAAGCCGTTCGGATTCACTTTACTTACAATATCTACATTTTTTTTCTTTTCGCTCCAATACAGTTTCTTCCAAGAAGCAAATGTTTTGAAACCTCCAAGTGTTTTAAGAATTTCGTTACACTGCTTCACTTCCGATTTCAATAGCAGTGAATTTAAAGATAAGTTCTGACTGGTCAGTCAAACAAAAGAAAACGATAGATCTGCCAAAGAAAAATACAAATTAACATACAATAAAAAGATGCCTCAAAAGCTACAAAACTTCAACATTTTTTTCTCGATTTGAAGAAATTCAAGTACATATGTATTGGCATAAAGACCAGTCTGATGAATCACCTTTAAAACTCACTGAGAAAACTCACTGGTGGCGTCTTAATATGAGTAAAACTTCTTAATGGGATGTAAGCAAAAAAATTAAAATAATAAAAACACCTGAATTTCATAAAAAAAATCTGCCCCATCCTCCTCTTTTATTAACCTGTATATATATTATAGTTTACATTAAGTTTCAGTGCCAATTGTTTTTATCCAATTAAGATTGTTTCAGTAATTAAGTAAAGAAATATTATTTCATCAAAATTGACGTTAATGCTCAACGTAAATACAATAAAACAGATCGTGCACAAAATAACTAGAATGGTCCATTTTAATTCAGCGCCCATGGTTTTAATATTAAGACAAAATCTGTTCAATTGGATCCATTTTTCTAGATACCCAACTATGATAATTCAGATCTATAGATTTTTTTTTATCTGGGCATTTCAGCTGTTGTCGTGTTTTAACCGTGTTTGTAGAACCGCTACATGAACACGCTGTTGAGATTTGTCAAGAGAATAAGACACAAGTTGTCACCTTCTCGAGTTAAAAGTACAAAGTACTCTACCTAAAGATATAACTTATTACCATTTTCTCCGAAACCAAACATGTTATCTGGTCGAATGTTTCAATTTTCGTGATAAAAAACCTAAACAACACTCAACCTATAGCTTGTAAATTTCATGATAATTTTTTTTGCATGAATCAATACCTGATAAAATGTTATAAATATTGGCTAGATTAAAACGAGGGTAAATATTAAACAAATGGCAATTCTGTTCAGTTCAATCAAATTAATGAATTGGTAATAACTGGGGAGGGTTCAGAATCTATAACATTATTTATCAAAATAGAACTTATTTATTTATCTATGTTAATGTAGGCAACAATCCGATCGAAATATTTTTTCTAGACGCCAGTGGGAATATGATTTATTTTTCTGAAGATTGACTTTTTTTATCCCCGATAATATCGGATAGTGCCTTTGTATATGATGTTCTTTTGGGTGTTGACTGTTTACCTCCGATGGGGGTAATGGTCGGCTGTTTGATACCCTTTGGGATATTGACTTTTTACCATAGATGAGTATTTGACAGTACTTTGGTAAACTGTATGTATTTTTGTGTATTGGACACCTGATGGTTATGATGTTCTACGCTGAATATATCGACATTGATTGTCTAAATCCATTGGAATATTTATGATGATTGTAATGAATATTTGATGGGATCGTCGATATTTTTACTGACTCCACTACAGTCAGTAGTGATTGATTATTGACCCTCTACATAATACCAGGCTACTCACAAAGTGTATTGGTAAAGTAAAAAAAAAGTCCATTCAATTGTTGCACCTATCAAGAGAACCAAAAAAGCAAAGGGTTGGCTTTTCTGGACGTCAGCCACAGTATGAATTAATTTTTGTAACTGTCTTACCTCAGAATCCTTGCACGTGCAGTGCACGCACTCTCTTTGTTCCATTCTTCTAGCCCATGCATCCAGCTTGATTCGTAACATTTTCTTTTCTGTTTTAAATCCAAAATTTACACGTTTTCTACAAGTCATGTTCATTGTTCATCACAATGCTCCTAATTAATAGAACGAGATCGACAAAACAATCTCAAAATTAAAACAATGGAAACTGCCCACTGTGTGGAACATGGGAGATTTTCAGAGTTTCTCGGTAAAATTACATATCTTGTCACATCGAGAAAACTAATCCTAGGACTCAGCTTCTACCACGAAGTTAATCGCAAATTAAACAAAAATCATCTCTCATGAAAAAAACACTTAATCCTCAATTGATAGTCAATCTGTAAATTAATAAAATGCGTAAAATATCTAAAAATCCATGAAACATTTAATGCCTCTTAAGCTGTAGGCTTTATTTTAGCATTGAATACACGGATAAATGTCAAGAAAAAGGATAAAAATTCATGGCCATCACAATCAATATAGACATGATAATAGTGGAAGGTCATATACAGGAGATAGCTTGAACAATATCCATTAGATCTATTATAAATCGAATTTAATTATACATTGAAAGCAAAGATATATTTTTTGCAAGAATAAATATCCACGTTACTATGCGAGATGTGTATAAACAGAAGAAACGATAGCACCTTCTGTCTCATTGGAAACACTTTTAAAGTGTGCTTAGTGTACTAAATATATGATTGTAACTGTATTTTTAAAGAACACTAAATTAAAAGATTTTAGGTGCGCCTGAATCTCCCTCCAGAGTTAAGCCTACCCCAAAAGGTTCCCTACAGCCAGGGAACTCAAAGCAAGCTAACCCTCGGGCCGTCACGGTAACACTTTCAAACAGTCACGCCCGCCAAAAACTCCGTGCTAGTGGCCCAGGATACCAAAGACCCCATATAGAGCCAGATGCTCCCCCGACGATAAGGACCAGAAGACCACCTGTGGAGATGTGAGTACTACCTTAAAATCAAGAAACCCTTTCAGAGTCTGAGACTAGCAATTCAAGTCTGTTTGTTGGCCCTACTCATAATTTGTATTGTTTAAATGGACTTTTGAGAATGATCACAGTTCGTTATATTCAAACATTATTTGTATATTCTTTTTTTTCGGAGCGAGCCAGTTTACTAGAAAATAAAAGCGCGCAATTTTAAAATCAGTATGTTTGTTTGTTTGTATGTTGTTTAACGTCCCTCTCGAGAATTTTTCACTCATATGGAGACGCCACCACTTGCCGGTGGAGAGCTGCAAATTTTGTCCTATACTCGGCACTTACGGCCATTGAGCAGTGAGGGATCTTTTTCGTGCCAGCACATACTTCGACACGGAACCTCGGTTTATACGGTCTCCTCCGAAGGACCGGTCTCCACGTCCCACAGTGGGATTCGAACCCGCGATGTAAGGATCAACTCCTTACTTCGCGACTCTAGAGCAGACGCTCTAACCACTGCGCCACGCGGGCGACAAAATCAGTATGAATAAAATTTTCCAACCTTTCAGAAAAGGATCACAAACTAAGAACCCTGGACCTGAGGAAATGTCATCATTAAATAAGACAATCTCTCGGTTGTTTAATCATTTGGAAATCAACAAACTCTCGAAAGAAAGCGATACGAAAACATCCACCAGAGTCCGTCATTCTCGTCGGTCACCCAGCCCTCATAGACGTCACAGGCGTGATGATTATGACGTCAAAGAACTGCTACAGAAACTGCAAACATTTGAAGATGAACTTCAGAGGAGGAGGGAAAAACAGAACGAAGAAACACTTAGGTAAATCTAAAAGAATAATATTACAAAAAGGAGAAGAGAAAAAACAGAACGAAGAAACACTTAGGTAAGTCTAAAAGAATAAATATTACAAAAAGGAGAAGAGAAAAAACAGAACGAAGAAACACTTAGGTAAATCTAAAAGAATAAATATTACAAAAAGGAGAAGAGAAAAAACAGAACGAAGAAACACTTAGGTAAATCTAAAAGAATAAATATTACAAAAAGGAGAAGAGAAAAAACAGAATGAAGAAACACTTAGGTAAGTCTAAAAGAATAAATATTACAAAAAGGAGAAGAGAAAAAACAGAACGAAGAAACACTTAGGTAAGTCTAAAAGAATAAATATTACAAAAAGGAGAAGAGAAAAAAAAAGAACGAAGAAACACTCAGGTAAATCTAAAAGAATAAATATTACAAAAAGGAGAAGAGAAAAACAGAATGACGAAATATACAGGTACGATCTATTCAATAAGAAATGACAAAAACAAAATATCGGCAGGAGCATAAACAATCAGTCCACTAAACATACACAATAAGAATGAGCGGTTTTCATTTGGGGATTCTTTTTTAATAAAACATTTCTAACGTCATGCCCTTCAAATTTAATAAAAATGCACATCCATATACTGCCCATCCTCATACAAATCAGTGCATGGAAGAATTAATATTAATTCTATGTTCAGTCTACTTCATTTGTCATATTTTGAAGTGGTTGGCCTTTACGCCTTTACTGTTCGAGAAATTAAATATTGTTAAGTTTTTTTTATTTGATTAAATATTTGAAATGAAATAATAACAAAATAACAAATATCTTCTCATTAATTGCTCCACAATTTTCTAATTGTTCAGTGTGTTTTTTTTAATTACTTTCTTTTAACTTAAGGGTACCTTTTAGAAAAATTGAGGATCGTAAACCAAAGATATCATTTACCATGGTCTTAGATAATATCTAGGAAAAATAATTATATCGGAAAAAGAGAAAAAAGAACGAAGAAATACTCAGATGAGATATAGGAAAAACCAGAATCGACATCAAAAACAGTCCTTCCAACATACCAATAAAAAATGAATTGCAAATTAAAGGGATAGCTAATTAAAATCAAGTGTTTAGTATACATGTATATAACAAATAACGTTTCAGAGGATTTTTATTACAATGAATATCGTAGATATCCTTCATTTTACAGATTTAAAAATGTTTCTACCTTGTTCACATCCAAATGTAACAAATAAAACATAACGAATTACAATGTATTTTTTTCACATAATTTCATATCTTGTTCATGAAATCAAAATCATACCTTTTACTAAACGATTAAATGATTAATTACATCAAAATAGTGCGTTATTAGCAGATTGATGAGATTGAGGAAGCATTAGACATTAGATACGAGGCAATGGTACATACATTTCGTGTATCTTATCTAAATACACTGATGAATTATAAAACTTGTACGGGAGGTGAAATTTCAATGAACCTACATAATTCAAAACGAACCGTTTTTTCCGAAGGCTGACAATAAAATGTCTTTAGATAGGGATTTAATAGAATTCTAAAGCTTTGCTGTGAAAATTTAAAAGTAATATAATAACTTTAAAATCAATAATAATTTTATAAACATTATGTAACAAGACTGGCATAAGAAAACACGACCAAGGTTCGTTCCTTCAGTACAGATAGACATTAAATCCTTTTCACATTTTAATATATGTTATTATTTTCAGTTTACAAGCTCAGATTCAGAAATATAAAATCCAGGCTGCTGACCAATCAAAGGAACTAGAGAGGTTAGTTAAAAAAGCGATTATATATGCATGAAAATAAAAAAAAAAAGCTTTAAAAATATTTAGTTCCCCTCATTTTTTTTAGAACTAATTTTTGTGCCCATACTTCCCGCGATATTGCCCGAATCTCTTTTTTTTCCTCGATTTTCTGAACCTTATCTATTTGATAAGAAGTTATTAATAATACAGTGTATATCTCTTTTCATAGTTATTGATGCTCATTAAGTAAATTTTTAATACATATATAGTACCATTATATGTTTGGAAGCTATTTATATGAAATCTGTGGAAATTGAGTGATAAAGAGATAATGCTTCTACAACTGCAGAAATAAGTAATGCAGGAATCATTTACCAATAACCAAATTTTCGGCTTCTTCTGGCTGAGTTATTCATGATGACCAGTTACTAATTTAGAAGAATGTATTGTATAACGATTATTGTACGTATCCTGACATTTGTTACTGTTCAATAACGAGAAACAAAATGAAAAAATTAGGGTAAACATATCTTTTTCACAGTAAAGTCCATACATTATAAAGATGTATAAAGAACACGAAAAATAAAGCTTGAGGTTGGTCATAATCGATCCATTTTTGTTTAATCTTAGGTTACGTGGGATCCATTCCATCACCAATAAAGCTAAAGGTAGACATGTAGGCATGATAGAAGAGAGGTAAGCAAAACAATCAGTAAAGAAGCCAAATATAGACGATTAACTATTAATATACTTCTCTGTGCATTTCCTTTCAACTAAGAACAAGATAAGGTTAAAACAGTCAGGAAACAGTTGGGTAGAAAAAGCTTAGATTTAAATTTCATTTTTTTATTCAAATCATTGAATTAGATTTTGATTTCAATGAAAATGAGTAATTAATATAAATTAACATTTGACAAGTATTTGCAAACAAGGCCATTGTAACAACCATAAAAACTGCGAAATGTTGAGTTTAAACGAGATTTTAAATGCCTTTATAGCATCATATTATTTGTCAATAGCTTACCTCGATCTAGAATTTCATCGCATACAGAACAAATTCAGTATAAATTCAGATATAAACACCACATGCAGTGGATAACAGTACATATATATTGCTACATTAATAAGAGAAGTTGAAAAAGGTGGAAGTCATCACGTTTTTCATACAGTTTAGTTGTAAATTTGCCATCATGACTTTCTCTAATAAAACATTCAGATATGAAACAGATGTGTCAGACTATGTGGTGTATTATATCTTGAATTCAGAGGAATATATCTATTCAATATATGAATTATATAATATGAATATTGTTAGTTGATAAAATGTCGTTGATCTGTCTGAATGTCGAATTAAAGGCCACAGCAAGAGACTTCTTTTTATGTACAAGTTTTTGGAGTTTTTTAATAATAAATTCTACTTCATAAGAATATAAAAACATGGCACCTAATAGTAATCATGGTAATACCAACAGATTGTTAGAAGACCTGGTCCCGAAAGACTGCATGATATTTTCAACAAAGAGCCATAGCGCATTTGATAGGCATTATCGCCTACTCTACTAGTGATTTCTTAAATTGATTGTTTAACCAAAATTTTATCATACAATATTAGTTTATACATACGTAAAACCAAACCACACAATAATGATATTTCAATATTGATAGTTCCTTCATATGATAAATATAAAATTTATCCAGTTCGTATGGAGTGTATAGTAAATATTGAGGTATCCACCTAAAGATGACAAACTGTTGCCAAAGACCACCCTTAACCAGAAAAACAACTTTTGAATAATTTTATTTGGATATGACTGCACTTCATTACATTAAGATAATTTTGGTTAAAGGTGGTCTTCATATTGAAAATGATGAAAATATATATTCAAATTTTCTTCTCATATAATCGTAAGATTTAGCTATCTGCCTTTAAATTTATCCACTCGATGTCATTGACTTCGTTGGCGCAGTGGTATGATTGCTGGAATGTAAATATGGTGATTGTGATTTGAACATATTTTATTGCAATAAATATATACAATGGGATTGGGCACAAGTTCTAAAAACTTAATTCGCCCTCTCCCTACATGTTATATCACAAAAATTCAATCAGACGTGTCCAACAGCATGTACAAAGTAAATTAACTCACAACATAGAAACATATACTGCTAAATTATTATCTATACACATTTTTAGAAAAATCAATTAAATCTGCCTGAATGCTGAATATAAGATTGAACAATAGAAAAGAGATATTCATTTTCAGCAATACTGAGTGAGGTATCCCCCCAGAGTAAAGTATGAGTGTCAACAATATGAACTTTATTAAATCTCAAAAACTTATCGAAGAAATCTTTCCTGGCCTCAGTGTAATTAGGACATGAGAAAAAATAATGATGTGTGTCTTCTACCTTACCACAAGAGCATAATGGACTAGATATTATGTTACACCTATAAAGATCAATGTTTAGCACACAATTGTGTCGGAGTCTAGTGTGTAGTATATTGTAGCGTCTTTTTCCAAAACTGAAATAAGGCGGGGCTATTGTTATTTTTTGTGTGATTTTACTTTTAAAAGCAGATAAGGAGCTCGAGAGTCTGGTGTCTAGCGATAAAGAATTCCACTCGTTTACTACAGTTGGTACAAATGATGATTTGTATGTTTGCAGTCTACAGACGGGTATATTATAATTTTGAGAGTTTCTTGTTGTATACGCGGAAGCATTACATCGCATTTCAGGTATAATTTCACGTAGATAATCAGGAACTAAATTATTATGAATTTTATACATGGTATTCAATCTCTGAATCTTGCGTCTATCAATGAGCGGTTCCCAGCCTGTTTCAAAGTACAAAGAGTCTCTAGATGCAATTAAGGTCAAGCCAGTAACAATCCGTGCTGCGTGTAGTTGCAATTTCTCTAATTTTTCAGAGTCGATAGCTAGACAACCACCCCATACAACTGAAGCGTATTCGAGCTGAGGGCGGATAAATGAAGTATACATGAGTGAAAGAGTCTTTCGATTTATTTTAAATTTAAGTTTTTTTAATAGACCAATTTTTTTGTATGCATTAGACAGTAAGATTTCAATGTGAGTTGACCAACTTAAGTTATATGAAAAAGTTACCCCTAAATGTTTATGAGTTTGAACATATTCTAATTGGCTATCTTGGAATAGGAGTTTGGGAGGTTCTATGTTTTTTCTTGTGCTAAAAAATACAACCTTAGTTTTGGATGGATTAAATTTTAGTAACCATTTGTTTGACCACTCTTCAAGAGATAAAAGATCATTATTCAGATTACTTTCTATAGATTTAACACATTTAGATGCGTACTGCAAACTGTTATCATCAGCGAATAATCTACAAAAGCTTGACATCTTGTCAGATACATCATTTACATAAATTAAAAATAATAATGGACCTAATACAGATCCTTGTGGAACGCCGGCATATAAGGAAGCCGAAGGGGATACCAAATTTTTGTAAATAACTCTTTGTGTTCTATTTTCTAAATAACTTTTTAACCAAAAGTACATATTACTCTCTATGCCATACATGTTTAGCTTAAACAAGAGCCCTTTGTGCCAGACACGGTCAAAGGCCTTAGATAAGTCACAAAAAATCATACAACTGGATATACCATCATCAATATTTCTAACAATATTATCGTATGTTTCTAACAATTGATAAACCGTAGAATGACCAGGCAAGAAACCAGCCTGGTATTTGTAAAAAATATTATTACAATGAAAGTAGTTATACAAGTGTTTAAATACAATACGTTCCATGACTTTACCAACACAACTTAACAATGAAATAGGTCTATAGTTTGAAAAAACAGCTGGATCGTCTTTTTTAAAGAGAGGAATAACATTAGCTAATTTCCATTTTTGAGGAAAAACACAGTCTTTCAATGAGCGATTAAACAGTAAACATAGAGGTTTGACAACAGTAAGTTTTGTTGATTTTAACATTTTATGACTAATACAGTCTTCTCCAATGGCTTTGTTAACAGGTAATATAGATAAAATATCAAACACTTCTTGTTCACAAATAGAAATATTGTCAAAAACACTATCACACTTAGTAATTTCTTTAGGTAAATCAGACTTATCATCATCAACACGGGTAACTGAAGCAAAATAATTGTTAAGTACTGTTATCTTATCTACATCAGAAAAAGCAAAATTGACATCACCAGATGCAGATGTGTATTGTAAAGGAGGAATATCTGTAGTTGATTTAGTTTTAAAAGTATCTTTAAGAAGTTTCCAATAAAGTTTAGGATTGTTTTTACTGGAATCAACGAGTTGTAACTCGAGAGTATTTTGATAATTTTCAATAGCATGTTTTTTCATGTTGTTAAACTTGTTTCTGATACGCTTAAAATTATCCCAATCGAGCTGTTTATTACTTTTTTGTGCTTTTCGTCTTAATCTATTTTTTTCTCGATGGGTTTTCCTTAATAATGAGTCAAACCAAGGTTTGTCTTTAGGTCTTATAATAACTGATTTTTCAGGTACACATTCCCTTACGAGATCTATATATTTGGTTGTAAACTTTTCGGTAGCTTCGTCAATTGATTCAGCATTACAGATAAGATTTTTCCAGTCAGTAGTTTCGATTAAAGTATTAAGTTTTTCCATATTAGCATTTTTATAATCCCATATTTTCCTTACATAAGATTGACTTTTAATGATACTTGATTTTAAGAAGACGTATGTCGCTTTGTGATCGGTTAGTGTATTGTCTGTGTCTATCACGCCTGAGTGGAGTGCTACAAGGTCTGGGCTGATCAAAACTGGGTCAATAAGTGTGTTCGAAGTGTTGGTAATTCGTGTTGCTTCGTGGATTGTGTTTGTCAGGTTATGATTCAGCATGATATCTTTAATAGGAAGTATCCGAGAATTGTCCAGAAAATCAACATTTAAATCTCCTACAATTATAAATTTGCTGGAAATATCCGATACTTTTTCAATTGACCACAAAAATTTGTCCCAGAAGGATTTTTCGCTGTTGGGTGGACGATATACGCAGCAAAGAAAAAGGTTACAGGTAGGTTCACTTATTTCTATCCAAACACATTCAATTGATATGGGTTCAAGGTCACTACGACGAATTGCACGGAGACATGAAGAAACATAGATAATAATGCCTCCCCCATTAGAGTTCCTATCTCTACGAAAAATTGTATCATAACCTTCAATCACGATATCGTTGTTACATACATTTGAGTCCAAATGTGTTTCAGTGAAACATAAAATATCGAAATCCGTGATTAATGTTGTTATATTTTCAATCTTGTGACGTATACTTCTTATATTTAAATGAAAGACGTCCAGTGTGTGTATTTGATCGTTTTTAGGACCTGGATTTATTTCAATGTCTCCTGACAAAAGATGTAAGAAAAAAAGAATTTGAAACCAAAATTGTAGATGTAAAATGTTTTGTTGAAAAATACTGCATATTTGTAGTTGTTTAAAGCTTTTTTTGCTAAGATTTGTTAGATACAGATATAGATTTTTGACATTTAAGAGAGGGAAAAATACTGTTTTGGTTGTACATCTATTGCAGTAATATTTACCAATAGCGGCTCGATATTGCTCGATAGTATTACCTATCATTGGTTAAATAGAGGAATTTGATTTTCTTAAAAAACAAGTTGCTGCGCCGCAAGTAATATTTTGTGAGAGCAAAATCATAAGTTGGTTGGAATAGACATACAAAACTGTGAACACATGGAAATGAAAAAAAAAAGCAAACAACAAAAATAAAAAATGTGAAGAAAAAGACAAAAAATAAAGTATATACCAGAATGGTAACACTTGTGAATCAGTCATAATTGGCATATGTACAAAGGGACGACTGATCACCATGAAATAACCTGTTGACATAATTTAAGGAGAGCAAGTGGGTGAATAGTGCTGTATTTACGTAATAATACATGAACATATATAGGGCATATAAATATATAATAAAACTTGTTTTATGCTTTGAGGAATATTAGACAGTCATGATCAGTGCTGTACAACTGCAATGTGAATTTTAGTCTACCGTACAATTTACCCGTTAATCAGATTTCCAAGTTCCTCCAGTGAGGTGACTTCAAATCGGTCTCCATATTGTTCAAACTTAAGGAAGATTCTCCCATCATAAGTCCAGAAACTGTGGATGATTTTTGCGTTTTTTGCTTGTATAATTTTAGATACAATGGATTGTCTATACTTGGTCAAATCTTCTGTCACAAAAATTTTATTGGCATTGTTTTTCAATTGTTTTTTAGCGCTGTAAACTTTGTTTTTGACCTTCCAATTTTTAAATCTACAAATGATCTGAATTTTATTTTGTTTTGGACGACCAATGGGGTGAGATCTGTCTATGTCATCAGGAGTGATGGTAACACCCATACCTTCGCAGATTTTGATAACAGTGGAGTCTGTATCTGTTGCCACATCCTCATCTGGGTCTGGAAGAGGTACATTATGGAAGCGCAGTGATGGTCTGCGACCATACTGTTCCAGGTTGTCTAACCCATATTCTAAGTCCTCTATCCTTTGTTTTAAATCAGTGTTGCTCTGTTTTAGGAATTTAATTTCTTCATTTTGGTCCTCAATGTCCTTTTGTTGTTCTTTTATAGAACTTAGTATAGGTTGAAGACAACTTTGGACTATTAGTTGAATGTGAGGAGTGATAGCAGATGCAATCAGAGGAGCAAATGCCCCAATGAATGCCTGGCTATTAATAGCCTTGACAATAAGTTCATTTATGGTAGATGTTTGTATCTCTCCATTGGAATCAACTATAGATACAGAAGAACCAGAATTTTCTGGGTCAGGAGAAGCTGAACTTAAGACTTTAGATGATGGGGTCAAAGGTGAGGATGATGGGTTTTGTGGTTGGCTGAGATCAGAATTAGTGGCCATCTCAGCTGACAGATTGGAAATATCTGGCAAGGATGAGGAAGACGTAATACGTCTTCGAGATGATGAGTGCTCCGTAAAACTTAACTCCGAAGACCTTTTACGTTTTGTGTCTTTGGCAGAGTTAGGATTCGACATTTGTTTGTAACTTGTGAATAGAGCTCACTGGACCGGACCGGACAATAATCACTATTAAATTTGTTTTTTAACTGCTAACACTTCAAAATCACTGTTACAAAGTCTACTGCATATTAAACGATGAAATACTTGCCAAAAAACTACACACACACAGGTATCTTCAATACGTGCCCACTAATTCTCTCTGAGCTCGGACAGCCTACATCTTCCCCTAATGGCTGACCGGAAGTTTTTTTTTTTTTGATATGGTGATTGCGAGTTCGAGCCCCACATTTTTCTATTTATGCTTTTTAAAATTTTTTTTTCTTTGTATATCTTTTCTACGTTTTTCTTTATTACATTTTATAATATACATAATTTCAGGAAGTTATAATGTGATAGGGTGATTTACTTCCCTTAGTCGTTGAAAGATCTTTTCCAACCGCTCTAAATGCTGTTCATATGTTTTTGAGAATATTATCAAGTCATCCAAATAGATGAAGCATATATCAAGGTGGAGTCCTTCAAAACATTCCTCCATTAGCCTTTGGTATGTAGCAGGTGCGTTGACTAGACCAAATGGCATGCGATGATATTCGTAAAAGCCTAAGGGTCCTACAGTAAACGCAGTTCTTTCCTTATGACTTTCATGTAACTCGACTTGATGGTAACCACTTTTCATATCCAAGAAAGTAAAGAATCTATTTCCTGCTAACGCATCCAAAATTTCTTCTATTCGTGGTAATGCATATGAATCTTTCTTTGTCCTAAGGTTTAACTGTCGGTAATCTACACACATGCGCAGTTCGTTGTTTTTCTTCCGACAAAGGACAACATTACTCGACCAGGGTGACTTAGACTTCCTTATAATTCCTCCCTCTAAAAGCTTCCTCAAATGATCTTTGACTTCCTCAAACATGGCAGGTGGTATATGCCTTGGTCTTTGTTTAAATGGAGTATCATCATGTAGCTCAATTCTGTGTTTTACGATGTTGGTGTGTCCTATGTCTGTGTCTGATTTGGAGAAGACATCTTCATACTTTCTTAATAAATGTTCTGCTCCTTGTTTTTCTGAAGGTGTAAGCCCATCTTCTTCAATCTTTACTAAATTCAGGACATCTTTGGTTTGCTGGAGGTTAGAACAAGGAATATCTGTTTGATTTGGTTCTACTTTCACAGGTTGTAGCTCGCAAAGTATAGATTTAGGTGGAACTTGTACTGTCCTTGTAGTGATGTTATCAATGTCCACTCTTATCACATGATTGGCTGGATAGGTATAGTCTGTAAGTGATGGTACAATATCCAGGTCTGATGGAATTACAGAGCAGGATGTGGCTTGTAGAACAGCTGTTGTAGACTGATATGGTATAGCTTTGTCGACATATCCCGATATAGAAACCGTTGAATTAGGTGGTATAATAATGCAGTGATTTTCAGCTGATTTTACAATTCCAAGTCTGTTGTTGTTGCGAGCAAGTTCTTTTTCTCGTATTGTCATTCCTCGAAAAGCTAGATACCATGGTGTGAATAATGCAGCATCCTGTAGATATCTGTCTCCATATTTGTCTTTGACATCATCTAGCATATGTTGTAGTATATTTGTTCCTATAAGTAGTGGTACTGTACTGTTGTAATTGCTTGTTGATACAACAAGTAATGGAAACTGTTGTTCTTCTGATGATTGTGGTAATCCATTACTGATGATAGAAGCCTCGATGTATCCGTGATATGGCAATTGTTGACCATCAGCACATTCCACTTTTAAAAGTTCTTTTATTGGATGAAGTTCCAAGTGACTAAGATGTTTCATATAAAAATCATAGCTAACTGTTGACACAGTAGATCCAGTGTCTATCAATGCTCTGACTAAGTTTCCTTCTAAACTTGCTTCAACTTCTGAAGTACTCCCTACTAATTCACTGGTTCTCCTATTAGGGCTTCTTCTGTATTGACCTATCGTCTGCCCCGCAACGAAGGTCTCCTGGTGTTTAAATGTCTTCTGCTGTGGTCCAAACGCACATGACATCGACGTGCTATATGTCCAGGTTGTCTGCACCTATAACATATAGGTTCTCCATCCTCTGTCTCTTGTAAAGCAGAGTCCTGATTGTCGCTATATCCATAATCATATCCGTATCCCTGATTATATCTTGGACCATTGTAATTCCTGTATTGAGGACGTCCACTGTATGAATTTCCAGATCCATAGTTTCCTCTTCTGGACTGTGGCTGAACTCTGTCATATGGTTCACCAAAATCTTTGTAATTCCTGTTTGTGCGCTGTTGTCCTGATCTCTTATTTCCTTCTTCCATAGCACTGACTTTGGTAGTAAGCTGTTGAATCATTCCTTTAAGTTCCTTAATCTCATCTCCTTTCTCAGCTTCACTTGATGCTACAGACATATTTGACTGTGCCTTCTTCGTTTCATGTTCCTTTTCTACAAGTCTGATTTCCTTCCTAAGTTCATCAAAATTGGACAGTGCATCAAATTTGTATCCAGTAATATCCTTAATCCACTGATGTAATCCATTCCAAAATTTTGATCTTAATTTCTCATTTGCATCCTCCTTCGTTGCAACTCCTTTGATAACAGCTTTCCTATAAATCTCCTCTAAACGACAACTCCAACTCATGCTATCCTCTTCTTTTTCTTGTCGCGCACTGTAAAATTGCTCCATGATGTTTTCTCCTCGTTCTATAGTGCCGAATACACTCTCCATCTTGTCCAGTATCTGGGTGACAGTGGCTCCAGGACCAAGTCTCATGGCAACCTTTCCTGCATCTCCTCGCAATGATCTCCTAATTGACTGAGCAATTGTTTCCTCCTTGTACTTCTCCTTGATCAAGCAGTCAACTTCATATCGCCAAAGATCATATGTGGTGTCATTCTTGCTGCCATCTCCAGAAAAGCAAGAGATCTTTGGGATGTGGGAACTGATGGTGCTTCCTGATGCTGATGAATTTCCAGTATCCGTGTGTGGTTATGTCTTTACATTGACAAATTCCTCCTCATTCATTTGTGCAACATATTGAGTCATCCATTGTTTGAAATCCTGTGCTGAATCTGCTTTGGGTTTTACATTTAATTCTTTAAACACTGATGCAATTTGATCAAGTTCCTCCTGTGAAATTTCTACTGACATGATGATTTGTTGTTGATCGATTTCTGAATAAACTTCTCTAATTTACTAAATACTAAGTACCTAGTAACTAAATCTACCTTAATTATCTTAATAAATCTAAATTATGTAAACTACATCCTCTGAAGTTGAAGAATCCAATGTGTAATCCAATCCGAAGAGTCCGAAATGAAGTTGAATAATTAAATCTTACTAATTAATAAAACTAATTAAACTTAAATTCTAAATATCTACTTAATTAAATTTTAATTCTATGTAACATTAAAATTCACTGAAATGCAAAAGTATTATACTCCTGAAAAGCAAAATTTAATATTAAATTTCTAAATAAGCTGAAATGAAAATAAGTAAATTAAAAATCTTAATAAGTTCGATAAATATATATCAAAGTTCAAAGAATGTACCAACTAAATCCTAAATAAATATAACCTTAATCTAATACTGTATTCTAAATAACTACAGTGGTTTTAAGTAATGAAGGATAACTCTAACTACAAACTTACACAAGGAAGATAACTCTGTTCTTCAGTACATCGTGTGCGCTCAAGCGTGACGAACTCTCGACCAGGGGTCAAATACCCGATGTAAACAAAATAACGCGAAATCAAAGTAAACGGAACAACAATGCAAAAAAAAAATGAAAAGGAATTCAATGGGTAAACAATAAATGACGGACAATGGTGAAAACCACCAACACTGATTACTCAAAGTAATGTGACCTTAGGAATATGTACTTAAAAGTACAGCAATCTGAGTATTAAATGAAAGATTTCACATATTTACTACAGGGGTGATATAGGGGTGATAAAGCAACTAAATACTGACTAGATCGACAAATCTGATCAAAACAATTAAGTACAGGTCCACGTAACAATCAGGCAGGAGGTGATACAAAGGGTATTCAGAAATTAATGAATTTTCACTCACAGTTTTTTCTTGGTCTATAAGCCGTGTATGTGGAAGGAAAAATATTTTGGGTCATTGTTACTATGGAAACCTGCACAAAGAAATTTCCCTAGCAACCGCCCAATTTTTCTTTGTAGATTGACGAAATTTCACTCATTTTGAAGGCTTTATACGAAACGTAAATAAAGTGATTTTTTCTTTTATCTTGTGTAATAAGAAAGATACATTTTTAAAGTGTTCTGTCAACATAATAAAAAGAAATTACATTCTCTAATATATTTGCTATAGACACAGGTAAAGATACATGTTTCCCATTTTTTGCTGATTCAGCATTTTGCTTGATTTTAGCAAAAATCAAGTCGATATTATTCATTTCACCATCTTAATACAACTGTTTAATCTATTTCACGTAAAACCACAGGAAATCTTCTCTAGGAATTTGAAATAAAAAGTTTTGCAAATTTGAAAATTCCTATCTGTTGCTAAGCAACAGTAATGGATGGTTTGATTAATTAAAAAGGGATAATTGTAAAACATTGGAAGAAAAATCGTATAAATTGTAATCATTTGAGTAACAAATACAAATTTAAACTAATAAAATATTCAATATTCTTCCTTGTATACTAAAGTTTATTTTACAAAAAGCTATCTCCATAGCAACAGCAAATTTTCCTTAGCAACGAAGCATTGAAAGTTATTTTTAGCACATAGTAATCTAAGTTTTAAAAGATTATCTGATTCTTATTGTTGGATTGCTATTGCCCAGAATCGACATTGTCAAACTGTTTTTTAAAAAGTATTTTTAAGTTAATTCATCCATAGCAACAGAACTTGTCTACATAGCAACAAATGTATTTTATAAAGAATAAGTATGTAGCAATTCCTCAACAAAATTTGTATCCTTAAAGGATGTTTACTAGGCAAAAACATTCTACTTATGGGAATGAAAAATCATTTATTTGACTCATGACTGT